GGCGATCTGTTCATCTGTCATACTGATCATACAGTCAATAACGTTGTTGTTATTAGCATCTGGTTAGCTAGCTATGCTAACAAATAGAAGAAGCTTTTTCTCCAACCAGTGAGGTAAGGCACATCTTTATATGATCATTATAGTTATAAAAAAATAAGAGAATAAAGTAAACAGGTATAAAATACTATATGACAGTAAAAAAAAGTTGTTATTAATAAACAAGAATACAGTTTGAAAGGGGAGTGATTTGTAAAATATCCATAAAGAAAAAATAAATCTGCTTACAGTTGTGTTTCATATGGATGTTGAGAGATGTATCCATAGATCTCTTCATGTTGCTCTCAAAGTGCACCAGATTGATGCTTATAACTTCAATATTTAAAAAAAATCTTCCCGGGGGAGCATGCCCCCCCCCAACCCACTTAAATCATGTCCACATGGATAGGAAACTAAATACATTTGCACACATCTTGTGTCCATGTCTTTCTGTTTTGGTGGTCATGCCACAACCGTGCACGTGCATGCACGAGTCATGGTGAGATATCTGGATTCAGGGGTTGCTTTTTCTTTGCAAAGCATGAAAGAAAGAAGAAATGAATGGGCTGTGATTTTAGTATTTTTAAGCAGAGGTCAATAATTTGTACGGCCCTCGGAGGATGTTGAAAAAATTGAAATGGCCCTTGAGAGGAAAAAGGTTCCCCACCCCTGATCTAACCTTTAATAAGATAGTATGACTTTTCAACTCAAATATATAATATTTCAAAAGGGTAAGCGAAGTTCTGTAAGACCAAGCCTCATTCAAAGCCAGGGTAATATCTAAGTATCAGACTTTTTTTTGTGGATGATTAAGTTTAATAGGTGCTTTCTTTACCTGCACTTTTTTGAAGATGATTTTGTCCCAAATGCTGTCTTTTCTGACCACACCAGTTTTCATCTCTGCCTCCTTCCGGCTGAAAGCGAAATCGAGCAGCCATCTCTTCAGCGGCGTGTTGGCTTGACTAAATATCTGTGGAGAATTGAGACACCTTATTTTAAAACATATCGAACAAACAGGGCAGCAAAGCAGAGAAATGGCACTTGTGTACATAAATAAGTAAATTCATAAAAAAGAAAGAAGTAATTACAGTCACAAAAGAAAGTTACTGAAATAAATGTAAGAGGAAATAGTGAATAAACATGCTCTTCTCCTAAATATGGCTTTGGTAGACTTTACAATGAGTGACATTAGATAAACTCTGACCTTATCAAACATGCGGTTGAGGAGTCGTGGGACTACAGGAAACACTGTTGGCTGCAGCGCTTTCAAATCATCCATCAAAAGTCGAATGTCCCCCTGGAAATAGCCGATTCTAGCCCCATGGATGAGGACGACACCCTGATGGAAAGAGGAAGTTACTCGTTGTTGCAAATAAATCAGAGGGACAATTTAACCACAAGAGGGCAATGTTGGTAAGATCTCACTATATAGTCAGTGTTTGTTATTCAAAACCACCACAAAAGCTGTTACTCGTCACATATCATTAAAACAGTTAAGAAAGACATGAAGTTGATTTTATTTTAAGTCCTTTGGTACCTGTGTTAACACAACAAGTAGAGCACTGTTCCTTTCAATATGCAATTTATTTAGACAATCAAAACCTACTTATGAAACAGTTCACTTTAAAACATCCATAATATAATTTAATAAAGGAACACACATCCTTTTAGGATGACATTTCAGTAATTGGGACAGCAGTGCTATGATTCTTAAAACTCCACTTATACAGAACATTTGAATGTAAACAAGTCCAACACCTACCTGAACCACCCTCTCAAACATGTGAGCTAGGGGGAGATAGGACACATGAATGTCATGGAGGTCCAGCATGCAGTGCACCTGCGGAGGACACACAAAGCAAAACACATGCCGGTACGCAGGTCAGGCGGGGCGTACTGTACTGTACCTCCACCACCCTCTCAAACATGTGGGCCAAAGGGAGGAAGGAGATAAGGCAATCTTCAGTGCTGGGCTTCAGAATGGTCTGGACGACAACACGCAGGGGAGGAGGAGGAGGAGGAGGAGGAGGAAGAGGAGGAGGGCGACGACGAACAGACACGAGAGGAGAGAAACAGATGTGAGAGGAAAGGAAAATATAAAAAAAGGTGCAAAAAGAGGAGCTCCAACCTGAACGGAGACATCTTAGATTTTAAGCAACGCTCTACGATTACATTTTATGTGATCCAAATCTCATGATGGTTTAAGAAGTTGGGTTAGTACAATTTTACTAAATGTTTTTTATATTATTGATTTATTTGACAGTCCCGAGGATTCCTGTTCTCTGCACTGTCAAAGGTAAACCATGTTTAAACAACCTGCCCTATATGAATATAAGGTTTGTGCACACACACATTTAAATATATAAAGCGATCTGATATATATCATATCGCATATCTGTATGTATGTAGTGTCAACTGGTCAGTCTTTTAAATAGGTATTTTGATCATTGTTTTCAAACTGTTACTTACATATCTAATCTTATGTTTTGATTGTATTATCCTTGAGTGAACTCTTATCTAATGCTCTGTTGCGGCTATCACACCTGAAATTCCCCACAGGAATCAATAAAGCTTTGTCTCATCTTATGTGCTGTGTGAAATGAAATAAGTCCCACTCAATACCACATTTTTCATTAATGCAGAATTTGCTCGTTTACTGCAAAGAAGAATGTCCTTTACTGCTTTATGTTGGATGTCCCTATAGGCGGATATAAAGACGGTAAGCAAAACCGTTTAAAGGAATGATGCAGAGGAGGTGGGAGTACTTTCACAGCTGCAGTTTTACTCTCAGGCTGAGACAAAATGAACAAAAACATAAAGG